AGAGAGAGAGAGTGAGCCGTGGTTGAGTTTGTCACCTGATGCAGAGTTTGCAAACTAAAACAAAATTTCTAGTTTCTGTTTGTGGACCAAATTGTTGCAAACAAAAGTGTTTGCGAACTGAGGCAAACTTGGTGAATTCAGTGAGTCTTGATGGTACTGATACTCAGTTTAGGTATGAGCAAACTTCCTTAGAAGATCCCTGGTGAAATGTCAAGTCATGGTAAATTGGTAGGGACCAATGTATCTATAAGGGTAGAAAGAGGACTGGCCAGCTTAGATTTGGAAGTCTTTTTTGAGTGGAAGGCTATCAGGGACAGAAAACGTGGATAAATGCAGGGCGACATGGTAGACAGACTGAAGGCAATGATGGCACTCAACTCAGGGGTAGAATTGACAGATGCTAGAAAACAGGGTGGTGTAAAATCCTGTTGCAGGTGATGAGTGTAGTCAGATACGGGGATTATCCAGCCATTCTCCTTCACCTTGGGTCCTATAAGATTACTTTCAAATTTCCAAGTCTCTTTAGTGAACATAAGATCAAGGTCATCCCAGACTTTGACCTCACTTACAAAAGGTAGCAAGTGACTGAATAATGAGGCCGCAACTACGCGTTAACAAGAGAACAGAATAATTTTTGGTTAATTCAGTTGAGGAATAGAGAAAAATATTTTGTGTTGCATGGAGTATATTTCTGCAGATTGCATTCCCACCTGGGGATGTCAGCTTAACCAGCTGCACGGTGCCTTAAACACAGAGGCTGATGAATATTTACATGCTTGATGGACTGGATTATCCATATGTTTGTTGAATAAATATTGGCTAACTGTTATTTTGGCCTGACTCCCTTCTAGGCACTAGAGCTATAAACAAAAGTGTGCAATGAGTCCAGAGTTCTAACCAAAGGTCTTAGCTGAGAAAACAGCCAAATAAAATACACACAATATGGATACACATGCACACAGAGTGATCAGCAATATGGCACATATTTAATTAAAATTGAAAACGAACCTTGTGACAGTAAGAGGCACACTGCCAAGAAGCATGTTCAAAGCTACAGAGAGTACTCTGAGTATTAAGGGCAATGTGTCTTTTACTGTAATACATTTTTTACTTAATCATTTGTGGTATGTCTTGATCACTTCTCATTGATCAAACATTTATGACAATTTTTGTCAAATAAAAATGTTACAGAGTGTCCTCGTCTACTTTATTGATGGAATCTGGCACTATGCAACTTCTGGCTCTTCCCTAAAGTCAAAAGGACCATGGATGGTAAACATTTTTATTTGATTTAGGACACTGAGGCAGCCAGGATGGTGTAAATAAAGACACAAAAGAGAACTTCCATGATCGCTTCAGAAAGTGACACGAATGATGGTATACGTGTGTTCAAGGTAAGGGGGAGTCTTCTAAGGGGCATTAATGGCCATGTGTCTTTTACTATAATGATTTTTTTTAAATGTAAATGTTCTTTTTTATTATACAGTATATATAATGGTGAATAGTGAGATCAAAAAATATAAAACCAGGCCAGAGTTAGATTTAACATGGAAGTGGGGGATCCTATTTTAGATAGAAGACCAGGCAGCTGTGGGTGAAAGTGTGAACCGTAAGAACTGGAATAATCAGTCGGACCTGGAGGTGTGGCAAAGAGGTTGGTGTGGTTAAGAATGAAGGGAGAGGGGTGAGTGGTGGGCAGGGAGGGAGATCTCTGCAGAGCAGGAATCAGGAGTTAGGTGGAGACTTGCCCAGCATCCTAAAACTTTGGCATCACATTAAGTGTGACAGGAAGCTATTGTGAATACCGGGCAGGGGGCTGATGTAATCAGACTTGACTTGAAGCCCATCATCCTGGTCACTTTAGAGGATGGGTTCCAGGACAGCACGCAGGGCAGTTTTCATAGTCCTTGTGCACTGTAATGGTGGTATAAACTCACTGCGTGGCAAAGGTAGAGATGAAAAGTAACAGTCAAATCCAGTGTATTTTTGAAAGTGCACTGGAGAGATTTTTTTTAAATGCAGTAAATATATGATATAAAACAGAAAACTCAAGGATGACTTCAAGGGTTTTGGCTTAAGTAACTGGATGAACAACTGGTTTATTGGCATCATGAAGAGGTCTTGGGGCACTGTTTGCTTTGGGAACTGGTTAATTAGAAGTGGGTGTAAGGATATAATTCAATGCATGAGTCTGGAATTAAATGGGAGGATATAGGTGAAGAGTTATAAATTGTGAATCCATTTGCACAGGGCCTTGTGTTGGCGTGGTGTCGACATTGCTTTAGTTCTGCTGCCTAATGCAGTAACACTCTGCTTTGCATATCAGCAATAACAGATTACACTTCTCTATCCTCTTTAAAAATCACCCTCTCTAGCACCAGGCATAATCTTGTTGCTGTATGTCATACCTAGAGTTCTTAGTTTCTTTTCTCCCAGATATCAACAGACAATTGAGAATCCTGTGTATTGTAGTCAGTGGTCACAAAGACAAATTAGCGTATCCCAAACGGAACAATTTTTGAACATCCCTAAGAGATAAAAGAATCGAAAGCAATTTAAACAGCTCTTCACACGAATAAGTTGCATTGTTTGGAGGGCATATCAAGGCCATCACACCTAGTTCAGTTTTGAGGTAATTATGAAAACATTCTGGTTTTGGATTGTTTCCTATCTAACATCTCTGGAGTGACTGTAAGGGTCACCTCTAGGATGTGCTCACTAGGGAAGGTCAAGGAGCATATTCTAGTGATATCTGTCAATGGCATTCAAGGACTTTTCAGAACATACTTCCCAAGCCCCTCTCCTTCTCCCCCATCCATCAGTTCTACACAAGACACTCATGGTATCTAAAGAGTCTGCACCATTAGCATGAAATTTCCCCAACCTGGTGAGGGGGGGAAATTGTGTGTGTGTGTGTGTGTGTGTGTGTGTGTGTGTGTGTGTTGAGGGGGACATAAGAATGGGAACTGTTCAAGTATTTACTATATTATTTCTATCTTTCCTCTTCTTTATATAGGTTAAGACAGGTGTGATGTACCTTTCAGCATTTGCTCAAATTTAATAAAACATTATTTCCCCTCATTCATTTTTTAGTTGGCAGATGCACATCGGCTCCTGGCGGCTGTCAGTGCTGGGAACACGCTGCCTTTTCTCTGTCCTTCTTTATCTGTGGTTCCTGTCTCTATCACCTCCTCCACCTGGGTGCCAGCAGCTGAGCGTGACTCATCTTTTCTGTCTTCCCCATTATTCTATATTTTTACAACAGACGAGTAATCAAAGTTACAAAGGTGCTTTTCCTGACCCATTGAACACTCTCTGGGTGAACTGAAGGTCACTAATAAGTTTCTCTTTTTAAGGGAGAGGTTATTGAAGCTGGGAAATCATGTTTTTATGTGGTCATCCACCGTATCAAGGAAACTTAATTTTATCATATGGGAGTTAATTATTTTTCATCATCAATCAGCTGAGAGGCCCATCTCTGTGGTTTTCTTCCTACTTTACTTTTCTACTTTTTTGAATTATTCTACCAAGTTTATATGGACCCGTAGCTTTTATTCTGTCCTGTAGATAATGTATTTTATTCAAGTTGTAATAATTATCATAAACTTAATTACCTAAGCGATTTAATATAAATGTAGACACCTTCTTAATTTAAGCTTTTGTGATCAGAGCTGATGATTATGTTGATGATGATGATGACGATGATGATCCTAGGACTGATAATACAGAAACTTGTGCAGTGTTTGACAGGTGAGGACCGAAAATAAAAGCCTACCCTACAGCTACATTTTTTCAATGTGATGATCTCTGGGGGCTCACTGGGACTATTATTTTAAAAATGTGTTTGCTGCCTGTCACTCTGCTACCAAAAATAAGCTAGTCTGAAGGAACCACGTGTTAGAGGACATTCCTGGAAACTACCTTGTTTGAGGCCATTTGTGACAAAGCACTCTTGAATTCTTTTTTACTATCTTTGTTTTCTACTTTCTGGCCAAGCCAATTTCTGTCAAAAGATTGCATTTAAAAAAAAAATCAAATATACTTCCCACTGTTAAATGTGTAATTGAAAAATTAACTTAGGCTGGTAGTTTATAGTAACCATTTTAAAACATCTGTTAATGGGAGTCAGTGCCACCAAACCAGCTGTGTACGACAATGCCATTTTAGGAGGCTGAAGATGGGATTGGAATTAAAAAAAAAAAATCACTGATGCTTGAACTGGGAGTCAGGAGTCAGGGAGCTCAAAAGTTCTTTGTTAATAGACCGGTGACCTTGAACAAGTTACTTTGCCTATCAGATCCTGGGTCTTCAGTTGTGAAATGCAGCCAAAACGAGGGCTCTGAGAGCCAGTGAGTTGTGTCAGAGACATTTAAAGTGTTACATCAGCGACAATCACCATTGATTTGCACAGACACACTGCAGTATATAAACCCCGTGATTATAATCCCAGATTCCTGCACGAATCTGGGATCCACCGCAGGTGCCCCGATTTCCATCCAGTTCACTGCACGTGAAGGAGTTTATTTCAGAAAAGACCCGGGCCAAAGGGGCGTCCCTGAGACGCTTCCTTGGGTGGAGTTACAGAAACACTGGGCTCAGGGTGAGTAAAATTTAGACCCCAGGCATCAGCCCCTCTTTCCAGGGCAAGAGGCGGTGTCATTACTGCCAGGATGAAAGTGACCTAAGGCCGTTATTAGGAATCCTTCCAGGAAATGACCAGAGCTCCTCCGAGAGGCACGAGATATTTACAAAGGATCCAGGATACTTATCACAGGGAAGAGGGGCGAGGAGGATGCAGGGGGTGTGACGGCTGTGGGAGGGTAAGTGTTCCGGAGACTTCTGTCCGAAGGTTCTCGGGAATCAGGGAGCGTGCCCTTGAGGGTCTCTGCTGGGAGCCTGGGTTGACCGCCCGCAGCGACTGTTACCGCACCAGGGTCCCGCGCGCTCCTTCCGCGCCCTGCGCGGCGGCCCCGGTGCGCGCCCTGCTCCCACGCGGAGCCGGGCTCGGACCTCCGCGCCCCCGCGCGGCCCAGTGGCCGCTGCCCACCCAGTAACGGCTCCTGGACTGGCGCCCGCGACCCCTCCCCCTGCCCGCTCACGAGAGCCGCAGTGCCGCGCCGAGTGGAGGGGTAACCCGCCCCGGAACCGACGTGAGCCGCGCCGGGGCGGGGTTGGTGCGGGCGGTTGAGGGATCCCCGATTCCGGCGCGTCCTCCGCGCACTCCGCCCGCCCGCGC